ACATTCACATCTATTAAGAGTGTTAACATAAATTAAAACATTCTTAATTGTACTAACACTTAATTATTGTTTTAACAGAAGAATAAAGTAGTAATTTATATTGAAAAATCGTAAAAATTAATATTAATTTGAAGTTTTGAGCTTTGCAGATTTAGTACTTTTTTATTTTCTGTAAAATAAAAATTTTTTATGCACTAAAACCGTGATATAGCATATGAAAACTGCAAAAGATGCGTCTTGATATAAGAAAATTTAGTTTTTATTCGAAATAATGTCAATAAAAATTGAGAATAGGAAAAAATCCATAATGGCATTGTTATATGTAATGTCAATGTATAATTAAAATTGTTTTACGTACTTTTACGATAAGCATTAAGATACATTCGAGTCATGAAAGATATAAAGAAGAGAAGATGATTATAAAAATCTAGGAAATGAATAGATTGTTATTGTAGTAGAAGGCAATATTTCTTTAGAGGTAGGGCAAGATTGCTATCCAAAAAGCCTGCATCTACATCCAACGAGTAATTGTCGAATAATTCGAGTTAAACTTTCTTGAAAGACGTGCACTGAATGAATGAGAACTTATAAAGGTAAAGTGTTGTCACATTTACTCTCATAAAAGTAGACAATGCTGGAAGCTTATACTCAAAAGTAGAAAATACTGCAGTTAAGGTGTTCAAAAATGCTTTGACATTAAACTTTTTCAGATAAAAAATTACACTAAAGTAAAAACATTGAATTAAATGTTCGTCGAAATTCGTGATATGAATCAGTAAAGTGTTTTCATTACTTTACATCATGTAAAAACTAAAAGTTTTGTACGATTATCCCTTTCAAAAAAATTTATTCCAGTACAATTAATAATAAATGTAATATACTAATTATTTAATGAATTTGAATGAAAACTTTATGATGTATTAATTGATGTGCTGAACCTGTTCTCAATATAAAGATCATTAATTAAACAATAGTGAAGGTTGCGTTATTGTAATCATTAATCATTAGTCTATAGAATAGTGTTCATATACCAAATGTTGAAGAAGATAAATTAATGTTGGCAATCAAATTTTTTGATTAAAAATTGAAATCAGATACTTCTGGGAAATTGATGTGGAGAAAAAGCTAGTATCTATATACATAAACTATATACCTAAGTCATACACTTTTCAATAAACTATATGCCAAAGATCACATTTTCGATTTTTCGAATTGACTTGAAATTTCCGTCCTTGTTCTTCATATAGGTGACATTCTTCTTAAATAAAGAAAAATAGTACATTTATATATTATCTCTTGTTTTTGGTATAGAAATCACAAATAATTACAATTTACGAGCAAAAATCAGATCAAGTATAATCATTTGAGTTTTTACTTTCCCGGTTGTTATATACACATAACAAGGGAAAGTATTGGAATCGTGCTAAATTTGATTCTCAGAGTTTTTCGCAAATCTCCACATTTTGAGAACTCCTGAACTCAAAAGAGTCATGAAGACAAAAAAATTCCGTGAATATATATGTGTCTGTTGGCGACTATTTCGTTTAATATCACAGGGTGGAGTACTGATTAATTAAGAAACGTAATTGGCATGGTAGCTTGTGTATAAGAGGTATTGATACCATTATATTTTGGTGATTAAAAATCAAATGGTGGAAAGATAGAGGGAAATCACGTGTCATATCTCGAGTCGCTAACTCACGAAAATTTTACTCGTTATTGGCATTTATAATTTCTTTAAAAAAACTCATCTCTACTTTCAAAATTAAGCCTTTTTTCTGTTTTATAATAATTAATAATATAAAAGTTATTTTTTAAAAAAATCTCATTAAGATGGCGCCACACCAAATTTTATTTTAAATAATTGTTAACCAAAGTAGATTTTTAGAAAAACTAAATAAAAATATGCATCTAGTAAATTTTGATTTTCTCCTAGGAAACTTTTCTACAAAAGAGGGCGAACCCTGGAGCAATTAATTTCGGCGAATGAAGTTTGACAAAAGAGCGTGTTGCAAAACTTCCTGGTGAAGCCAGGAAAGTTATGCAACTCTTTGCTGGATGTTTTCAATATAGAATGTCTTTATTCTCTTGCAGAAAAGTATTGTATTCAGAATGAGGATAATGAGAATATTTTCTAAATTAGTATTAATACAAACTTTATCTTATAAATTAGATCAATTCACTTAACAGACAGCTTAATACACTATTTTCTTCGATAATTTTTACAAACATGAAACAATCCTACAATCTTTTATTAGAAATTCCATCAACAGATTAACGTAACTTATTAGAGATAAAGTTTATTTTAAACAATCATATAAGTACTGTATAAGAATTAAAAAAATCAGTTTTTATGTATAAATATATTACTTGTATTTTCTCATTTTACTAATTCTTAAAAAGATATAATTTATAAAATAAAATAATTTGTTAAAGAAAACTTTAACAAGTACTTTACAAGTTCTGCTCTTCAATTAAGAGAAGAGAAACTTTTAAGATATATTTTATATAGGAAGTGCATTTTTGTAAATATCTAAATCAAAAATCCATTAACGTCTCTTTGAATAATGTCTAAACTATCTATTTTTGTAAGGAAATGTCCTTACAAAAATGTCCAATGTCTAACATGATGAAAGCATGTTCCTGACTAAGTTCTCTTTGCTTTTTCATTGAAATATAATAAATTATAAATAGTTTTAAATGACTCTTTTATTAAATTTTCACATTAAAAGTTAAAATTTCATAACGTATATTACAGTAAAGTCTTTGCAATATAATTAGTTTGATCATCCATTTAATGTCGTTATACCAGTTTTGATATTTTGCCAATTCTTTAATTATATTCTATAAATAATTAAACACGTTTTCCTAAGTTTCTGTTTAAAAAAGCACAAAATTTTTTGAAACTAATTTTGTGCTTTAATACTGTAAAAATTACTTTTATAAAGGTGACTCAAATGTCAGTTTACCGTGTTTTGAGTACGCTTCACTTATTCTCACAAATATGAATCGTAAATTAAATTTATAACATGTTTTCCCTTTAAAGGTTTGGTGGAAACGTGATAAAAATATGCAACAGCTAGAAAAATATTTATTGAAAAATACAACCTACAACCTAATCTTTATAATGGTTAACTGACTTTTGGGCTATCTTCTATATTAAAACAATGTTAAAAGTTTAGTTTTTAATTGTTCTGTACTGTTACCGGAACAAATCATTCCTAAATTCAAATTTTAATAAATTTATAAATTCTTTTATTAAATTCATATTTTAATTTACTGTTTATTATAAAAATAAATCATGTTAAAAAATTTGAGCTTAAAATCTTATCGAATTATAAACTTATTATGATGTTATTTAATGGAATTATCAAACTGTTAATTAATATATTTAAAAATCGAAAATAAGAAACAAAAATGAAAATCCATTTTTCTACTTTATTTTTTTTTTCTTTGCCAAAAAATATATTTTTTTCTATTTGCTAATGTGTTTTTTTTCTAAGAAAATTTACAGATCAACAAAAAATTTAATTTTAAAAATAGTTATTAATGGATAAGAAAATACTATTTATTATTTTTAGACTATTTGTTTTCAACTAGCCTAAAAATAACGGCATTAAAATTTATAATTATTGTAGTATATTCGAGTTAAAACAGATACTTTATGAAATTACTTTACTAATATTAAACCTGGAAAAAAGACAGATTACATTTAAAAATCATTTAATAATTTAAATTTAATTAGGCCTGTATTGAAAGTAGCAATTCTGAAGTTTCTATATTGTTTTTAATTATTTCTTTTAATTTTTAATTTTTACACTCGTAATACATTTTACAAGAACGAATGGCTTCTTTCTAAAGTCTCTTATACCTTGAAACAATTCTTTTTGTATGTCACGTCTTTGCATTTTCTCTCTTATATCTTCCTCTTTTTTTTTTTCCTTTACAACCAAATAATATTATACTCTCTTCGTGACGTTCTTGTACACCTTTTGTGCTTCTTCCTCTTTTGTCATCGCACTTCTTTGACGTGCCATTTTTATATTGTCAATTGAGATGATAGACCATTAATGATTGTAGATATTGGCTGATTTGATTTCGGGGTACTTCGCCATAAACGTCACGAGAATCACGCCAATTCACGTGTCATGCTTTCCATCTCACTTTCGAATTCTTCATTCTCGTTTCGTGCCACAGCCAACGAATTCATTCCAATACTCGGATCGCGATCATGCTTGTAGACTTTATAAACCATCGATTTTCAAAAATTCTGCAGCTTAAATATGATAAAATCCATTCTAAAATAAAACGTTCTAACAATTGAAAGCATAAATAATATTTTTAAGAATAATAATTTGAGAAGATAGACACGTGGTTGCAATTTCAATTTTAATAATTTAGTGATTTTCACTTTCAAATTGTATTGATAGTAAATTACTTTTTAAAGTAAAATTCTTCGAAAATAAAATTAAAATATTCTTTCTAAATTAAAATTTTCCAACTGAATATTGTTATTAAACTGGTGTAAAATTTAATCAAATGGATTTGTTTCAATCGATGAAGTCGAACGAACATAGAGACTTTCACGAAAACCAATATTACAGATTTGTGAGGAGATTATAACATTTGGAATTAATAAATTTGAACGAATTTACTTTAAAATATTGCAAACTTTAATCTTGATAAGTTAAAGAATCTTTTGTAATTGGATTTCTGTAATTGATCCGAGTCGTCTAGAAGGATAAGATTGTTCCTGAACAAATGATTAGCAATCATAATATCATCTTTCTTGTTTCAAGACAGAAAAATAACTACGAAGTTCTTTCGATTATCCACAAAATCAATCTTACTTATATCAAAATTAATTTTTTTTTTTGTTATTTTCGACTTATTTCTTCTATTGAAGATAGGACAAATATCTTTAAATATTTAATTAATATTTTAAATTAATGTTCTGTTCGATTGAAGAATAATTTTTAATTTTTTAAAAAAGATTACAGTTAAAAATGAAAGTAAACTTTATATAAAAGTCGTAATAAAAAGATGAAGCTCAGTTTGTTATAAGAATATATCAGAAAGATGGAACCATTACAGAAAGTATGAATAATTTTATATAATTTTTAGAGTTGCCTCATATAATTTTAAGCTTGGAATCGATATTATGTTAGCCTATAACAAGTACTAACGGCTAACATGAACAAAAATATTAGTAATAAAAATATCAATTAATATTATTAATTGCTATTGTGAAATTATTGCTATAATTTAGTTTGATTGATTGGTTTGATGGAATACGGAAAATCAACATATGGGGGATTTGCCAAGGGAACACCTCTCGAGAGGACTTTTATGGAAAATTGGTCTCTATTTAGGTGTTAGACACTTGAAGAAAAACTGAAAACTCCACGCGGCCAGCCCGTTGGGTCAGGCACGAACCCTCAAACTAACATTCAGTTTTATCCCCAGCCACTGACGAAGCTATTATAATTTAGCATGAGATAATGAGTTACAATAAAATAATAAAAAAATTTTCTACGTAAAAAATTTAATATTAGATACTATTGATATAAATGAGAGTTTAAATAATAATTTGAATATTTTAGTATGTTATAGTTAATAAAATTTAATTATTGCAATGAAATTTTTAAGAAGAGATAAAGTGTAGTTCATTTAATAAAATTAGTATAGAAGATAATGAGTTCTTTATTATTTAGATAAGCTAAATTACTAAATAATATCCAAAAATTTGCAATAATTTTAATGTAATTATATTTTGCTATAAAAAAAGCAATTTTGTGGTTTTATTAAAGAAAAAATTCTTAAAAAATTAGTCAAAAATCGTTTAAAGTAATAATATTAAATGCGAAAAATGCATAAATCATTGTCAGATGAGAATTAAATTTCTGTAAAAATCTTTCAAATGAATCGCTATTGACCACTAATTAAGAGTTGTCAACTAAATTGGATATTTCAGATGCAGCTTTGATTAAATTAGATTAATTGATTTAGTTTTCAGCATAATTTGTTAAGATGGAAAATGTTTCGCTAATGCAAAGTATAGATTATCCATATTAATTTTAAATTAAAAANTCTACGTAAAAAATTTAATATTAGATACTATTGATATAAATGAGAGTTTAAATAATAATTTGAATATTTTAGTATGTTATAGTTAATAAAATTTATAATTCAGTAGTATCTAAACGCCGAAAAATAAAATGTAAAATTTAACCATAACAATTCAAATTATTAACATTAAAAATAAGTTGTATTAAGCATTGCAACTTATAAAATCCTTTCATTAACTAAAGAATTGTTGTATTTATGCATTGATTTAACAAACATAACCGAATATTTCGCATCAATTATTATATTGATTTAAGAATAACAATTTGATATTCGTGGAAAGATCAGCAAAAAAGAGTAAAAATAGAAAATAACTCGAAGCGATCGCATTGCATAATTCCTTTTCCTTTTCCCCCTTTTTATACGAAGTAAAATAACATGAGACGAATAATGATAAATTTGTATGCTTATTTATTTTGTTTTGAATTGAAGAATCATTTAATTTCCATAAATTAAAATTTATAAAGCAAAAAATAAAAAATAATAATAGGAATTACAAAAAAGAAAAGAAATTAAACTTTTTCTAAGGATCTATAAGCCATATTTGCTTCGATTTAAAATAAAAAAGAAGAAGAATGAGTAAAATCTACTGAATTATACATTTATATTCAAGTTAATTGATGATTATAAAACTTAAAATTATTCAATACATTAATTAATCTAAATATTTGCATATTTCATTTAAGTTAAATTCTACTTAATTCAATTCTTATTGACAAATTCTTTTTATATTTTTATTAAAATTTAAAATTTCAATGATTTTATACACCATCAAACTTTTGTCGTACATTAAAATTATTTAAATTTAATATTAGATACTATAAATGAGAGTTTAAATAATAATTTGAATTTTTTAGTATGTTATAGTTAATAAAATTTAATTATTGCAATGAAATTTTTAAGAAGAGATAAAGTGTAGTTCATTTAATAAAATTAGTATAGAAGATAATGAGTTCTTTATTATTTAGATAAGCTAAATTACTAAATAATATCCAAAAATTTGCAATAATTTTAATGTAATTATATTTTGCTATAAAAAAAGCAATTTTGTGGTTTTATTAAAGAAAAAATTCTTAAAAAATTAGTCAAAAATCGTTTAAAGTAATAATATTAAATGCGAAAAATGCATAAATCATTGTCAGATGAGAATTAAATTTCTGTAAAAATCTTTCAAATGAATCGCTATTGACCACTAATTAAGAGTTGTCAACTAAATTGGATATTTCAGATGCAGCTTTGATTAAATTAGATTAATTGATTTAGTTTTCAGCATAATTTGTTAAGATGGAAAATGTTTCGCTAATGCAAAGTATAGATTATCCATATTAATTTTAAATTAAAAAACAACTTAATTGATGTTAAACTAAGTTTAATTATCTCGTTTTAAATAAATGTACCGAATAGTCCAAAAGTCAATTAACCTTGTAAAGACTAAATTGTTGTGTTTTTCAAATACTTAAATACTTAATCATGTTTACTCAGTTTTCTAAAAGAAAAACTATTTCTATTTTGTTTAAAATAGAAATAGAAATCATTTTGAATTTCATATTTTCTCATATGCATCTGAATACAGTTTGTTGACTTTTGAACCATCCTATATGTTTATTGACAATAGATATATAACATTGATAAATTCAAGTAAGTCAGTAAATATGCAGAGTGGCCCAAATGTCAGTTTAACATTGACTATATAATTATATCTGAATACAAAGAAACAAAACACAATTAACTGACTTCTGAACCAACGTACTGTACATAAATATGGGGTTTACCTTTTGTATATTTATTGAAAATGTTATAAATCTATTCTCAAGAAATATAACCGGCCAAAAAGTCAGTTAACTTTTTTTGAATACGTATATTTGTTCTTGTATATGAAACGTCTCTGTAATCCAAAAACTTGTTCATGTACAAGAACCAATAGACAGCAACCATATTATAGTGTGAACGTGTATTTGTCAATATTGATAAACTAACTTTTGAATTTTCCTATTTATTTATTGACAATGGGTTTATGAATCTTATTAAGTCCATCATCAATAAATATAGGCTACAAGTTGGCACAATTGATTTATATTTTCGAAATGAATTTAATTACTTTTTATCTATATTTTCTATACCGTAAGTAATTTAATTCAAAATATCATTTTTTATAAATGAAAAACAAGCTAAAAATAAATTACATAAATAATTCATCACATAAAAAATTGTTTTTTGTATTTATTTTTATTTAGTTCTAAATGAATGTAATGATTTAATAAATGCAGATAATTACACTTCGTGATATTAGTTACTTCAAAAAAGTAAAAATATATACTGTATATATAAATATTTTAAGAGGAAAAAAGTTTATTTCAAAATAAATTAATGATTACTCTTTACTTAAAATTATTTTTTAAATCTAAAAAATAATTAATTAAATCTGTTTAGAAAGTTTATGAAATTTATATAATATATAAAAAGAAAAATGATTTAAATTTTTGTTACTTTAAGTAAATACTTTCTTATTAAATATGAGAATATGAAAATTATATAACTTTTTTAAATTTAGAGAAAAAAGAAAAATTAAAAGTATGAATTTATATGTAAGAATGGTGGGATGGTGATGAAGATGATGACGACTTTGATAGCGAAGATGTTAATGATTTTAATGTTGATGATAATAATAATGATGGTGATAAACGTATGAAGTCATTAAATAATCTTAATATTTATTATTTTTCGTAACGACAATTTTATAATAAAGAATATATACAAATTCAATTAATTACAAAATTATAAAATAACAATAACTGATGAATAACTGGTTATGTTAGCTAAAGAAATTAAAAATAATAAAATAAATAAATAATACATTTATATTTAAAGAACATTTTATAACTATTTTATCACAAAAAAATAATAATAATAACATTTTTTACGATATCCTATTTGTTAAATCGAATAATATAACTAAAATAATTTATTAACTTTATAAATACATTGTATCTGCACAAAAATATTGAATAAATTTTAATAAATTAATTATGTCGCTATAAAAAAAAAGAATAAACCAAGAAAATCATTTACGCGAGAAAATTTAGGAAGTTCTTTATTACAGTATTTATCACAATATGCTGTTACATCCATTGTATATTTTAACAAAAAAACGTTACCAATCAACTAATTTAAATACACATCAAATGGAGACAATGCATAAAAAAAAACATAATAATAAAATAATTGCTTTATTTCTTTAACATAATAAAATATATCTTTCACATCTGTTGTATCGTTCCTTCTTCTCACGTTTTAAATCCTGTTAATGGTTTCTTAACCACTAATTTCTTAATATCATCATCTTAGTTTCTTGGGAACCGAATTCTTTACAGTCCTAAATTTTACTCTCTTTTCCTTGATTTTAAATCAATATTATTGTTTTTGTCTGTAAAACAGTTCTTTCAATATTTGATATATTTTATATTACAGTCATTATTTTAAGAGTTTCTTATATATTTTCAATTTGACAGTAGACATTTCTCATTTTCCAATCTTATAGACATTACTTTTTTGGAATTATAAACATTCTTTATCGATCCAAAGATAAATTAAATTCCAAGATTTATATATTTTTGTGTGTAAATTTTTAAAATTTTCGAATTTATTTACTTTATAAACTAGTTTTTAAAGTTTATTTTTACATTATTTTGATTTTTTAATGCAAATTGAATTTTTTAAATTAAAAATAACAAAATTCTGTAATTTTTGAAGTATTATCGAATTTGAGAATTTTAAATTTTTATTTTGCTTGTTGTAATTTTTAGAAAGTTTTTTTTTTTAATTTCGTGACTAAGAAAATAAAAAACAGTTTTTAAGTTTTATAAAATATTTATTTAAGAATTAACAGTATATTTTCATAAATAATATACAGTAGCCCAAAAATCAGCTAACCATTGTAAAGCTAAATTGTTATCTTGTACGAATATTTTATGATGGAAATCTAACAGAAATAAATACATATTCTGACTAGTTCAAAAGTTTGTTAACCATTGTAAAGACTACATTTCTGCAATATTCAAATACTAAAAACTATAGTAATTGTAGAGTAATTCGTATATAAAACAAGAAGAATCAGATTTTGAACAATTTTTGTAATATTTGTAATAAAATATTTTAACAAGTTAGTAATTTAATTTATACCACAGTTAACTGACTTTTGGGCTAGCTTCTATATAAATGAGATTTAGATTTCTACCATAAAGTATCTGAATAAGACAGTAATTTAGTTTTTCAGAATAGTTAACTGACTTTTGGTCAACTCTGTATTTTAAAATCCACATTTATAAAATTATTGTGATTTTTCTTAATACTTATAATAAGTATTATGTTTTGGTGTTGTTTAATACTTTGATAAAGTGCAAATGCATTTTCTTAAAGTAGGAATGCATTATCAATACTACTAAGGAATTTTAGAATGAAATTAATTTCTTTATTCAGATTATTCAAAAATAATAATAATAAATTGAAAAATATTTTTGCATGTTATATATAAAATATATTGAAAAATTCCAATTTCTTATATTTTTATTTAGTTTTTTATGTGCAGAAATATTTCAAATATTCGTTATATGATACGAAAGATTTTTCGAAACCTATTGAAAATATTTGTAAAAATTCGCTCTGCAGATAAAAATAACGGATTGGAATATAATTTCTAGTTTCTGTAAATCAAAATTTTTCAGATTATAGTTGTATGAATTAAGAAAATTTTCTCGATAGCAAAATTATGAGAAATTTTTACTTTACTTGTTGAAAGTTTAGGTCTATCACATGAATGCTTAGCTTCAAAGACGAAAAAGAATTAATTTTGTATTAAGCATAATTGTAATTTATAAACGAAAGATACTTAATTTATTTAATTAAGTCAATAGTTTATTAATTCTATGATTTAATATAATTACATATGAATAAAAGATGCATCATCAGCGATATTTTTGTTTTTCAGGTTAGATAAATGCATTTAATTTGATTTAAAATAACTTTATGTTATCTTAAATCAAATTAAATGTATTTATCTAACCTGAAAAATAAAAATATCTAAATGTATTTAAATTTAAATTTTTTAACTTTTTAAATATTTAAATTTAAATTATCTAAATGTATTTAAATTAAATCATATCAGATAACTTTGTGTTTAATTTTTAATAGTTTAAAAATTTTCAAATGATGATTATTAATTTTTCGCGATAAAAATATTGTATATAAAATTCTCATAATTTTGTTAGTGTTATACATATATATTAATTTTATTATAATTATAGTTTATTTTAACATTTTATAAATTATTTTTTTCACGTGGCTCAGTAATTGCCATTTTTTAAATCATTTATTGCAAGACGTGGTTCAAAAGTTATCAGTTTCATAACTTAAAATATGTATTTTATTTAATATTGTTTTTAACTTAATATAAATGAATTGTTTTTATTATAAGAAAGGACTAAGCGAACCACGTAACCATGGAATTGGTACGTTTTTCTGTGAGACGTTCAGAAAAATCATGACGTTCGAAAGATTTGAAAAAAATCTTTTTGTTTTTGTTATGGAATCTGAAAATTGTTCGTTGCTCGATCAAATCTGAAAGTTTTTTATAAGATTTGAATAGAACCTTCTTTCCCAACTAATTTGAGATGCATTTCGAAACGGAACCGAACTTAGTTTGTGTTATGTAATCCTTACTTGGAATTAGATAGATGAAGGTAAACATATTATTAAAATTTTTATTATGAATAGTCTATAATAGGAACAAATAGGAGAAGCCTCTAGTATCTCTATAAATAATTTAAATAATTATTTACTTAATACATGTAATGAGCACATTATTTCAAGACTATGTCGACAATAACCGGCAGCCTCCATCTTGCATGACAGCCAGTGCACGGGCAGGTGTTTACTCTACAGCAGGGGTGGTCAATCAGTCGATCGCGATCAACAGGTCAAACTGGAAAAAGTTTTCAATCGATCGCCGCAATATTTGCTATTCACAATTCAGTAATACTTATTTTTTACCGGATTAAAAAAACTCCACGAATTGGAGAAAGCGTGAACAGTGTATATACAGTAATAAGTCACAGTTGGTACAGATGTTACTATAAAGTTATATCACGTGTTGACGTAATTTTTGTCTAACAGTAGATCACGACTAGTTTTAATATAATGAAGGTCGATCAAACAAAAATGTGGCTACTCCTATTCTACAGTATCAATAGAACAGCACATTAAGCTCTAAACATAAAGCTGAGCATTAAACTAAAGGCAATCGATTTTTAATGTTATTTAATAAATAAAAATAGATACAATAGAACTCCAAAGTTTCTTCACTTATTTGAAATTTTTAATGTTCTAAAAATATCTTATTTAAAAATAACAATCATAGAACAGAGGTCTCAACTAATGATAAGCCAACTGGTATAGAAAGAACACTGTTTAATAAATCAGTCTCATATTTAAAAAAATAGCAAAGTAATTATTAAATAATACTTCCAGAAAAATAGTAACTACAGTTCTTAAAAAGTCTTAAAATCATAATTTGTCAGCTATAAATATCATAAACTAGCAGACCCCGCCACGCGTTGTTGTGGCTCAAAATGTATCTATTATAAATGTATAACACTTCCCCCGTGTGGGGGGAAATTTTTCGAAAAATTTCTTCTTAGTGTACATTCTCTCGGCGTACCCTATTAAAACGCAATGAAAAACGCAAAAACCCGCATCTAAAATAGTATAATAGAAGCCAAGTTCTTCAAGGTAAGCCTTAATCCTGTCTCTCTCCCCTACGGAGGGAATATTGAAAAATCCCTTTTTAGTATATATTCTGTTGACATACCCTATTAAAACGCAATCAAAAACGCAAAAAACCGCATCTAAAATAGTAGAAATAGAAGCAGAGTTCTTTATGGTAAGCCTTAATCCTGTTCATCTCCCCCCAGTGGGGGGAATTTCGACATGTATATTATATAAAAATAC